TTCCAAACTAGGTGATGTACATTGGCATGCTGTTGAAAGAGTTATGCGCTATCTGAGAGGTACTATGAACTATGGACTTCACTATACCGGATACCCGTCGGTACTTGAAGGGTATAGTGATGCGAATTGGATCTCTGATGCTGATGAGATGAAGGCCACAACTAGGTATATGTTCACTCTTGGAGGTGGCGTTGTTTCCTGGAAGTCTTGCAAGCAAACGATCTTAACGAGATCAACAATGGAAGCAGAATTAACAGCATTAGACACGTCTGGTGTCGAAGCAGGATGGCTTCGAGATCTTTTGATGGACTTGCCATTGGTTGATAAACCGGCTCCGGCTATCCTTATGAACTGTGACAATTAGACTGTCATCACCAAGGTGAAGAGTTCAAAGGACAACATGAAGTCCAACAAACACATAAGAATGAGATTAAAAGCTGTCAGAAAATTAAGAAACTCCGAAGTGATAGCGTTGGAGTATGTCCATATGGCTAAGAATCTGACAGATCCCTTTACTAAAGGGCTATCACGTGCTGTCATAGATAATGCATCGAGGGAGATGGGCATGAGACCCACATGAGTTGCCATGGTGGTAACCCAACCTATGTGATCGGAGATCCCATGAAGTAGGACCTGGGAAAACAAGCCAGTGGTGAACTGAGGAGAGTAACTATACTAACCCACTCTGTTGGAGATGCAATACTCTCAATACTGTATGGTAGGGTGACTATTGTCTTAATGTGTTCCAAAACTTATGTAAGCAAGATGCTATCCTACAGAGCGATCTTTGGAGGAACACACCTATATGAGCCTTACTGCTGGTCACAGTCTATGAGATTAGGGTGATCTCTAGTAAGCTCATGAATAGGCCAGGAGTGTGACTTATATGCTCCACCCGAGGGGTCAGCCCTCGGCAGCCTAGTACTAGTAAGACATGTGGTGAAGCTTCTTTACGCCAAACTGACAATTCAAGGCATAGTCCATTGTTCAGTTGTGAAGGAGTGTAGCTACTTGCTCTAGGTGAAGCTCAACCTTCACAGGTCTTCACTGAAACACTAGTATATTAAAACAACAATTAGAACAGAGAACACAATGGGCCCTCGAGATCTGGTGGGGGATTGCTGAAATATGAGGTGGGCTTTAGGCCCATCTAACAATTTCTGAAAATCTCTAAGGGCCCATGTGGGTTTATAGGCACTAGGTGTAGTGGGAAGTTTAGTCCCACCCCGGAAGTTGAAGAGGAGTTGGACCTCCTTATAAGGGTTTCTCTTCTACATGCTATTGGAGCTTGAGAAGAGAAGATCCAGTGCATAGCTGACAGCTAATGCGTACTAATGTCAAGAGAGGTCGGGGTAGACCGAACTTGACATGGGAGGAGTTCGTAAAGAGAGATTTGAAGGACTGGAGTATCACCAAAGAACTAGCTATGGACAGGGGTGCGTGGAAGCTTGCTATCCATGTGCAAAAACCATGAGTTGGTTGCAAGATCTTATGGGTTTCAACTCTAGCCTACCCCAACTTGTTTGGGACTAAAGGCTTTGTTGTTGTTGTTGTAGACCACCTGTATGAGTGTAATGACAGAAAGGACCACCTCTGAGTGGAATTGGCAAAAAAAAAGCCACCTGCCCCGTGGCAGCAAGTGCGGCAAACGACACGTGATGATTGCCGCCACAGCCAGTGGCGGCAACCTGTTCATGCACTGTTCATCATCTCCCAGCGCGTGTATTGTGCACGTCCCCGTCAATGAACAGTATTGCCGCCACAGCCATGTCGCGTCGCGTGTCGCCGTACTTGCCGCCACGGGGCAGGTGGTCTGTTTTGCCAATTCCACTCAAAGGTGGTCCTTTCTATCATTGCACGCAGGTAGTCTAAATGCCAAAATTCCAGCCGTGACAGTGGGATCCTAATCATTCTACGAAAACCACCCTGTGTGATCCTTCTTGCAACCGGCCGTTCATCCTCTTTCTATGCCATGACTTATTGCGACGCCAGCCCCATGGCCATGGGCTGGAGAATTGGGAAATTATATTTCACCCACATGCTACACCACCGCACATCCTACTCAGTGCCCTCGCTGCTTATCTTTCCCCTCCTCACAATAGTGCGGCACTCCTTGTTGCCGTTTCATTTTAACAAATTAAAGGCGAGCATCTCAACCACGGTTACGAGGCGGAGCTTGGTGCTCCATTGCCCGTCAAGCTGGACGGCGGGCGCGCACGGAAGCGTCGCCCTCTCCCTCTAAGCATTGAAATCATGTACAACTTCACATTTGTTGGC